GCTCTGGGGCCCCCAAAACAAGCAGAACAAGGACCTGCTTGAGCAAGTTCAGTGGAGGGCTACAGAGATCAGAGTGCTGGAGCACCTCTCCTATGAAGACAGGCTGAGAGAGTTGGGCTTGTGGAGAAGAGAAGGCCCGGGGAGACCTTAGATCAGCCTTCCAGTACCTAAAAGGACTTACAAGAAATCTGGAGAAGGGCTTTTTACAAGGGTGTGTAGTGATTGGACAAGGGGGAATGGCTTTAAACTGAAAGAGGGTAGATTTAGATTAGAGATAAGGAAGTAATTCTTTATTGTGAGGGTGGTGAGACAGTGGCACAGGTTGCCCACATAGGTTGTGGAAATCCCATCCCTGGCACTGTTTAAGGCCAGGTTGGATGGGGCTTTTGAGCAACCTGATCTAGTGGAAGGTGTCCCTGCCCATGGCAGGGGTGTTGAGCTAAATGATCTTTAAGGTCCTTTTCAACCCAAACTATTCTATTCTGTGAAAGTGAGCTGTGCTGTGCACGCTGTGGTGCTGTACATCCCTGGGTGGTGTGGCTGTCACAGCAGTCTTGGCCTGGCTTTGATGCTGAAACCCATAGGTTTGAAGGAAGTTTCCTCTGAGCAGGCAGCTGCCTCTATCTGCATCTCAGCTGTCTGCAAGGAGATTGAATTCACCCACTGCTCTTTATGTGTTACACTTCCCTCTGCCTCCACAGAACACACTCTCATCCTGAAGGCACCACAGAGCCTACACTGTATTCCTTCCTGCACAAATGTATCTGCAGTTCTGCTGGTGCTGAATGGTAACTGCATTTGGTAAAAATTTATTTTGCACTTCAAGGAGCCTATGTTGATATATATGCTTTAGAGGCTTGCTGCTTCAGAGCCCTGAACTTAGATTATATAGAGACTTAACATTATATAAAGAATTAAAAAAAAAAAAGAAAAAGTTAAATGTGACCAGGATGAGTAATTCAGAACACTGAAATGAAAGATGAAAATATGACAGGCAATAAGTTAATGCTTATGTTCTGCTGACCATACACATTTCAGTATGAAATGCTTTCTCATCAATGGCATAAATTCCAATGGCTGTAGTAGCCCTGTGGTACAGCTGCCCTTTTACTCAAGCAACCACTGAGGATAACTTTATCTGTCTTTTGGGCACCATATAGGAGATGCTATTTGTTTGCATATGCTGGGAGAAATAAACTGTATTTTAATTTTTGTGTTTATTTCTTTTTCATTATGATCCTGCTTTCTGATCTCCTCAGTTAAACTCTGTTTTCCTGTGTTTGAAAGGATTTTGGTCTTTTTTTGTTGCTATCTTCCTCTCTCCCTTTTTTACCTTCTCCTTTGTTTCCCCCTATCCATTTATTGCCCCCCTCCCCAGGTTTGTTTTTCCTTTTTTTCCTATTTTTCCTTTTTTATTTTTCTCTTTTCTCTTTTTTTCTTTATCTTTATTTCTTATTTTCCCTTTTCATTTTTCCTTTCCTCCTTTTTGTATTTTTCCTCTTTTTGCCCTTCTCTGTTTTTCCTTTTTCTTTTCCCTTTTTCCGCTCTAGTAAGTGGTTCACAATCTTTGGCCAGGTGGGGTCCAGGTAGTCTATGATGGAGACACTGAAAGGTCTGCATCTTGGCATGCATCTGGAACCAGAGCCCATGGCCAATGGATGAAGAAAGGGAAGCTCCAAGGGTTTTGGTGGTGAGCAGAGTCCTCCAGAGGGCTTAGGGTGGGCAGCCCAGTTAAAGTCAACCTACAGATCCTAGCTCAGAGCTCTGCTCTCAGATGTTGATAGGGATAATGATTTTCTTGTTGCCATCTTGAAGGCAGATTGGAACAATGCAGATCCAACTTTTCCCCCGCTAGCAACATGCATACTTTCTCTAGTTAAAATTATCCAAAACTGTTGGTTTCATCTGTGTGATGCATGTAATGATAAGCAGAGAGTGGTTCAGAAGACTTTTTTTTTCCCTGTTGTCACATACTTCGCTAGGGAGTCACCTTTTCCTCTTTTGAAATCTTGTTTTGGTGCTACACACAGAGTGAGAAGCTCTTCTCACTGAAGAAAAGGTGACTGTAGGAAAGTGAGATAAGTTTAGGAAGAACTAGTACTGATGTAGGAAAACTACGATGTACCTTAATTGCATTTGTTTGTGGCGACAGAGAAAAGGCGGGCCTATAGCATCTCTCACAGATATCAGTGCTCCTGCAAACCCAGTCTTTCTTCAAACCAGGGTAGAAATTGGGGTGACAGACATCCCTACAAAATGGGAAGGGAGTGCTGCAAATGTGAATGTAGAGGGAACAGCTCTGATTTATTCATTCCCATATATGCTGCCTAAATGCTGCATCCTATGGGCAAAGCAGAGACCAGAATCTGGGATGTTTTTACATCACTGACTTGGCAAACAGGAAAGGCCAGGACTTGTTGCTTTTGGACAAATTTTTGCAAAGCTCCACAGGCAAAATTGTCATGGTGGGAGTGGTAGGGGAGAAAAGGACAATGTGGTCTAAACTGCAGTTTACAGCAATTTCATGGAATTATAATCCTTCGGGGACAGCTTGGCTGGCACTACTTGAAGAACATGGGGATGAGTTACTTCCTACCAAACTAAGCATCCATAGTACTTCTTCCACGGCTTTGTCTCTTTTCCTCAAAAGCAGTGAAAACAGATTTCATAGTTGACTAAGCACAAGTTCTTCTTTAGTTTGAGTATACATTGCTACAACATGCTTAGTTTTTCATACATATTCTAAATATGATATTCTGAAGAGCTAACATGAAAAATGTATTCAAAATCAGTATTTATATAACATATTAATGGAATTCTGCTGAAATGATGCTGGTTATACAGGTGCTTTAGTTTTGAACAGTTTAGAATCACCAAATAGCATGTGAGGTAGAGAACTGCAATTGAAAATGAAATATGCTGTGGGAAGTGTTACATTTAATAGAAATGTGACTGTTTCTCTATTACACTTTGTAAGTCTGAAGTAAAATGAAAAAGAGAGAGATCAATATGCTATTGGTATCTCCAAGATCACATTTCATAAATTGCCTTTCTTGACCTTGGCAGCATATGATGAGCCTAATCAGATTAAAGACAATGTATTTTATGTGCCTAATTCAAATCATAATGAACTTCATTCTACATTACAGTGATATGAAAAGATTGATACATTTTGCAGCCATCTATTTACAAAAGGCTTCCACAGTGGAACAAGCAGAGCACAGTGTCAGAAACACAAACACCCTAAAAAAGCATCTGGCTCTTCCTCTGATGAGAAATAACTGCATGCTTTTGGACCAGTAAGCTAGCAAGAAGTTAACATTGGTGCCTGAACTTACTTGTGATGGCTGACATACGGCTTGTTAATTTATTCCTACTGATTTTTGTTACTTCAAAGCATCATTTACATGTAGCTTTACCTGACTGCTTTTGCTGCTGGTGGTGGAAGTCTGTATTTTCCTTATTTCTCACCATTGGCTTGGTGTCAGGCTGAGCAGGACCTTTTAAATGGTTATCACCACTTTAAGGAATGCCAGTGTGCAGAGACAGGAGATATCAGTCATCATCACAAGTCAGTTCATTAAAGAGGAGCAGCTGTTTTAAGTAGAAACTTCCATGCCAAAATGGCATAACAGGTAAAACTGTTCATGTAATTTATTCAGAAATTTTGTGATAACTGTCAAGTTATTCAACAGTTTTCTTTATTATCCTTTACTTCATGTATCTTGACTTGGCAAAGCCTTTAGGAAGACATTTAATCAGATGTATGCAAATGGTCCTGTTAGTTTCAACAGGAAATTGGCACTTAGGAATAGCAAATCTTAAATATTTTCAGAAATGTTGAGACATATTTGTACTAGTTACATACGATGAGTTATGCAATCGTTGTCATCATCCTTTTTCTTTCTTTTTCTTTGCAGTACAGTTGGAGAAGTTTTCTGCAGGTTTTCAAATATTCCCTAAGCAGGGCTGAGTAAATTACTCTAGATGCTACTGGGTGACCTGAACCAAAAATATTTCTGGTTCCAAGCAAAAGAGAAATCCTAGGGAGTGAGGAAAGATTTTTTGATCAAATAAAACTTTTTATTCATCACTAAATACTTTTTTTTAATTGGATGTGCTAAACCTGGTCCCAAAATAACATTTAGAATTAAAAAGCCCATGTGCTTTACTCAGAAAATGTCATGTTTTTTTCCTGACATGCCTATTTCACAATGCAATTTTGCAAAGGTGCTGGTTTCTCCAGACTGCCTTCCACAGAGAATTAAGCATTTATAAGAAAAATTAATTTGTCTTTCCTTCTAGCATGATTTCTTCAATACAGTGAGGCAAGTGTTTCAAATACTTAACAAGTGCTCCGTATTGTCTTTGTTTCCTATCCATTGTGATACAAACAGGTGAGTAGGGCATACAAGGCTGACACCCTAACTCTGGTTATATGTACTTACATGTGATTCATAGTGTGTTTTTCCTTTCCATGAATTGAAGACTTTGCAAAAGAGGCTAAAGGCTTAAATTCAGAGAGCCTAATTTCTACCTCAGCTTTTGTACATGTTTCCTACTGCCTGGCTGTAGATCTTCAGAAATGTTTACCAGAAAAAATATTTTGCAAAGGAATTTAGGGGAAAATTAGTCTGAATCTGGGCTTAGAATTTCCATGTTACAAACATGTTAGCTAAAACATGTGCAATGAAACAACTCTCCCAAAGTTACCTAACAGAGGTGGAGAAGTGAAGAGCAGAAGCTGGTTGTCCAACTCCTCCCTGTTTCTCCTGTGCAGGGTTATACCTGTATTTGGTGCAGCATGGTAGTGAAATACAACCCGTTCTTTATGTTTGGTTATGTTTGTTTCATTGTCTTTATCAGAGGGCAGCAAGGGGGCCTTCAGAGCTGCAAATGCTTCAGTCATTCCATTTTGGATATTACAGTGATTGTATTTTTGATTGTGGAACTGTGATTGAGATTGTATGTGTGCCTTGTCTTTCCTTATAACCACCTAGGTTCAGGATGCCTAGAGACAAATGACATGGAAAAAGGCCTCTGTGACATAGGTCCGTATTGGCACTGACTGTACAAGTGGAAAGACACCTAGACAGAAGGTAAGAAAAGCCTCTAAATTTTTTAACTTCACTGATTTAATGCCTAATGAGGTGTCTTTAATTTATTTGGCTACCAGCAGCGGTATTTAAATGAAGCACATAATTTGTTAAATACTAACAAATATGCTTCAGGCTGTAAAGCTAATGTAATTTTTTGCTTCACTGGTAGTCTTGGAGGCATTTGATTTCCCCTTGCCCAAACTTCAACTTCCTCTGTAAGCAGGCCATACCAGCAGATGTGATCAAGCTTTTTTGTTTGTCACATTTTAAAATATGGCATTTTAACTTCTTCTTTAGCCTGTTGGACCCTTCCAAAGCCATTGCTGCCTGTCCATCTGCCATTTCAAATGTCTGTCTGTGCAGGAACACCAAGTGAACTGTGCTGTCTGCTCAGCTTTTGTTCCACTGAAAGTGTTATCACGTGCATATATGCTGCTTGGTTTGTTTCTTGCATTGTGTTCAGCTTAAGCAGTGAAGAAGTTTCTGACAACTGAACACTGAAACCTCCTCTAATCATTTTGTCAAACAGAAGGCTATAGAGTTTAGGACCTTATCACAGCTTTCATTGCAAGTACTTACATACATTCTGAATTTAAATTTTCTTCATCTTTTATTGGCCTTGACCCTGTATTTTCTGAGACAGAGCAGGCAGCATGGAGTCCTCTGGAACCATCATAAGCTAAATGCTCACACTATGTCATGCTTACTAGCTTGCTCATGAAGAGCATGGGGTATTTGAATACATAATATCTTCTATGTATAATTTATTATTTCAGAGTGTTTTATGAAGGTTATGTGGTTATTTTGGGAGAGAGAGGAAAGGGAGCATTGTTTGATTATTTTCCAGACAGAATGATGTATGAAGCTTCAGAGAGCTATTTTAACCATCTGATACACATAAAACTGGATGACGAGGTAGTTTGAATGATAGATTTCTTTTCTCTCTTTTTTTTTTTTTTTTTGAGAGAGAGAATTCTATCAGAATGAAGCCACATAAATATTGAGGTCTTTTATAATGACTGTAGTTGCAGAGAGTTTGATGGACATTTTTAATACATCAAAATAAATTGCTATTAGAGGGAAAAATGAAATGCTTTCCAGTTATAGAACGCTGAAATGAATGTGCATCTGTGGAGATACTGGAAGTGGTTGTAGGGGGCAAGACGAGTCTTAAAACACCAAAGAAATGTTGATTGTAGTAAATATGTTCAGTAAAAACAAAAAGGCAACACTGAAAATTTTCAAGTAATATACAGAGTTAATACAATGTTCTTGCAGGAACATTTTGTTGGGAAAAGGGGGAAATATTCTTTTGTTCCAGATAGGGGGAGGAAAAGCATTATTTGACTCACAGATTTTCTGAAAAAACATTTATGTTCTCTGTCAAGTATATGCAAATGAAACCATATTTTAAATCTTTTCACTGGGTCCTGCTGGATGGAACATGTCTCAAGGGCAATCCAAGGAAGAGGAGCATTTGATAAACACATATGACTTTGGGCAAAGTTCTGTGCACCTCCAGAGAGCCGTGATAGTAGTGAGCTTTCTGCCATACCACACATTTTTTCCTCCTCCTTCAGGCTCTGAATCAAATTTATTTGAAATCAGCAGAGCTCTCTCTGTAGACTTCAAAAAGCTCTGGATCAAGCACTGTGGAGGAAGTGCAGGTCAGGAAGTACTGATCTGAGCTTCATTTGCTTTTGCTTTTTCTTTCCCTTACTTGCCCTAATTTCAGAATGGAACATGGTATATTCCATCTGTTCTCAAACAGTCCTGGGCCATGAGCCACCAGAGCCTGGCATCATGTCATTGGGCTGTCAGAAAAGGAAGGAGCTCAGTTTTTCTGTTCTCCTGACTCCCTTAATGTCAGGATCCGTCCACCAGATCTTCTTTTCCTTTCTTGTTATATGGTGCAGTGGAAGAAAATATCTGGCATCTTAATATTAGTTTTTGGTAATCTGTTTTTCAGCTGTAAGATGAACATCAGATGCTTACATGGTCTCTCCACCCACAAACAATGTGTGTTTGTGTGCATATAAATTTTATACTATACGATTGCTGTTATAGAACTTTTCAAAATTTAAAAATTACTATGAGTGAGTATTTACTTGAGACAGGAATAAATTATGTCCCCATCCTTCTACAGGGATAACTGCTGTTGCTTATCTCTTTTTGCATCTAATGGAAGGACAAAAGACTGTGTGGAATCATGATGGTGAAAACAGATTCAGTTTTGGAGGTAAAATAATTCATTTAAAATTCTTCCATCTGCATGCAAATAGGTGTTTTTCCAGGCAGGCCCAGACACGTTTATTTGAAAACCAGGGTCAAAATATTCTACTCCCTTCCCTCCCTGCTTCTGTCCTTTCTGGTATTCAGCTTCACATCCTTTCCCCTCCCTTCCCTTCCCTTAAAATTTCCTGATAACTGAGCATAACAGTGCTTGCAAAGGGTCAGGGCAGGACAGAGCTGTTGTGATTTAAGGGTTATATACTCTGGTGAGCAAAAACTTGAGGCATAGCCAACCTTTTCCATAGGGCAATACAGCAAGGTTGGATTTCACTTGTCAAAGTAAGCAACAGTGCTATTCTGCAAACAGTGTCTTCCTCTCTTCCATCAAAACCTCTTTTGATCACATTCAATGTCTACATTTGTGATAACCTTCCTGTAGCACAGAAATTCTGCTTCAGGCAAATTTTTGCACAACAAAATTCTTGTAATCCCCTCCTCTGGTAGAGGAAAATACATTTTGTAGTGAAACATTTGCTGGGGATGGAATCTTAGGCACCCCTCCCATCTCTTCTTTCCTTCATACCAAAGAACGATTCCTAAGTGACAACAAGAAGATGCATTTTGCAAAGCAAGTTTATAGTTAGTAGTTAAATGTGAGATAAGCAGTATCAATGAAAATAGAACTCTCCCTACTATTCCTTATCCCAAAGAAAACAGAACAAAAGCCCAGATTTTACAAAGTACTTAACGCTTCTAACATGGTATACAGGGGATGCAGTCCAAAATCTAAAAGAAGATTAGCCAGAGAAATTTCATGTTAATCATGTCAAACACCATTGCTTGTGGGCCATCTCCGCTGCTTGCTGCTGCTTTCTGTGCTGCTTCCTAATGTTTGGGCCCTTCCCATTCGTCAGAAGGGAACTGTGGGTTCCTGTGGAGACCAGCACTAGCACCGACAGCCCATACAGGTGCCCACACAGACACTGCATGTTGTTGGAGTGGGTTGCTGAGGTCTCTAAGAAAAAGTGTGAGTCCAGGGTTTAGCTGAACAGTGAAGGAAGCTGAACTGAGAAAAAAACCCAACAAACTACCTGGCTTTGCTGGAAGTTTACTCAACAGTTAGCTGGTAACTTACTTGGTAACTCTAGGGTGTTACAGGTTTCCATGGTGGCAGACTATCAAGAAAAAATGTGAACTGGCATTTCCCACCTGTTGTGGTTTGAACAGTTCTACAGTCCTGTAGCACCTTGAAATACAGGGGTTTGCTCGCAAATTGCATCTCGAGCTAGAGGGTGAAAAACCTGAAAAATAGACCATCCACCCAAGGAACTTGCTGTTCCTGCTCAGAAATCTGGAAGGGATAGAAAGTAATGTAGGTCTGCTGTGCTAGTTTTGTGCCAAAGGAGTATTACTCTGAGGACAGGTCTACCAGGAACGTAGCAATTTTGTGACCGAATTCTTTGCAATTTACCTATACTCACTGTGTTTTCTCCCTTACATGTCTACAGAGCGAGACTCTGGAGACACTAGCAAATATAGTATTTTTTACAATAGACCCATTTTAACATGAAAAACTCTCATTAGGAAAGAGGACACAACAAATATCATAGAGACAGATGCATTAATTTTTTTGTCTAGTATAAAGAGCAAAATACTATTTTCAAATATGATATATGGAAATCATGTGGAGGAAAACAACAGAAGGAGTCAGTGATTGATCATGCAATAGCAGGGAATAAAGCAAGTATACAGAATCTCTAGGTATATTTGAACAACAAGCTCAGTGTGGGTGAGCAGTGTGCTGCTGCAGCAAAGAAAGCCAGCAGGATGCTGGGTTACATCAACAAGGGCATCACCAGCAGAGATAAAGATGCCATTATCCCACTATTCTCTGTGTTTGTATGGCCACACCTGAAATACTATGTTCAGGTTTGGTCCCCACTCTACAAAAAAGATGTGGACAGGCTGGAGAGGGTCCTGCGAAGGGCCACAAAGATGATCAAAGGACTGGGAAGCCTGACCTATGAGAAAAGGCTGAGAGAACTGGGTTTATTCAGCCTTGAGAAAAGAAAGCTCAGGGGAGAACTTATTATCATGTTCCAGTATTTAAAGGGGGCCAAAAGAGAAGACAGAGATTCCCTTTTTATAAGGAGTTAGATGGAAAAGATGAGGGGTAATGTGTACAAGTTACTCCTGGGGAGAGTCTAGTTGGATGCAAGGGGAAATTTTTTCAAAATGAGAACAATGAGCCATTGAAATAATCTCCCCAGGGAAGTGGTGGATTCCTCAGCATTGGACACTTGTAAGATTCAGCTGGGCAGGATGCTGGCCATCTTGTCTGGACTGTGCCAAGAAAGGTTGGATCGGATGATCCTTGAGGTCCCCTCACAACCTGGTATTCTATGATTCAGTTTCACACGGTTATATTATTCTTTGGAACTCTAATTTGAATGATTTTTAAGCAATCATAACAGAAGACACTGGCCTAGAGTGAGGATGTAACTGCTAAGATGAAATAAAACTCAAAAAGACCTGTTATTCACTCTTTTCTGAAAAGAATCATGGACTCATAGAATGGTTAGGGTTGAAAATGACCTTAAGATCATCTAGCTCCAGCCCCTCTGCCATGGGGGTTGGAACATTACATTAGTGTTCTTAATGGGATTACAAGCCAGAAATTGGTATAAAAAGCATATGGGCCTGATTCTGCTGCCTGCATCAGGTGTTCCTAGTTTTACTAGCTTGGAGCAGGTTCAAATGAGTAACTC